TTTATCTAATACAATGTCGGACAGACTCAGGATGAACTTAACAACAAGACGTACAACGATTACAAACACTTATACTTCTGTTTAAGCTGTGGCGGATGTGGTGTTTGAACGAATTAATAATACCTTTGTACTTGTTGAATGCTGGATTTCGAATTCCAAATACAATACATTCGTTTGTGCTTGTGTCTCACTTCTTAAATCAATTGAGTTAATTCTGGGATTCCTAGTTCATAATACAATTCAAATAATTCAAAACATTATAGACCGGCAGTAACTCTATAACTGCTACAGGGGGAGTTATGTGCACATATATGTGAGCATAATTGTAAAATTATTCTGTGATTGGTTTTTTGTCAAAATATTACAAAAAAGTTGAAGCAACATGATATGTTGTGCCTGACGTTCACTATTCATTCAAGCGTTTCAGAAACCTGACACTTCTTCCAAAATGCGTTGTTCTAGATCGACTGTCAGATACCACCGAAGTTCCGTCGTAACTGTTAATTATCGAGTGAGGTATCGTAATTGTCCGGCTTGTGTCGTTCCATTGTACCTGAACAAAGTCAACACTATTAGGTTCTTGTCCTAGATACGCGGTTTAGGACTATCGATTCCAATATTATCGTTAGTTCCGTTCGTATCGATGATGTAGAATTTGATGATAATAATAATAATAAGTTATTCTCAAATAACAGTTTGTTACATGAGGCATGCCAGTTTACAGGCAAGATCAAATTGATACAAATGATACAATATCCACTGTTATAAATTACATAGCTGGGTTGATAATTTATAAGATATTAGTGTAAATGGTTTCATTCAGTACTACAGTTGGCGCGCTTCATGAAAGTTGCGTTGCGAATGTGCAACTGATAGTCAAGGATAGGTCCATTGAAGGTGGGGGCTTCTAAATGTCGCAACCTTATGTCCCTTTGGAATGTCTAAGGCTTTGAGGATGGTGCAGGATGAAATCTTTCGTTCCATATCACAAGGGGGCTGAAAGAGGGAGCAAGTAAAAGAAAACACGAGGCAGAGTAGCCAATATTCATGAAGGAATGTTTAAGGTATGATGACTCAGTCTAATTTTCTTTTATTAAGCTAATTGTTAAGAAAGAGCATTTTAATAGGTTAGAGAAAATAAGCGTTAACAAGGTGTGAGTAGACATACAACTGACAAATGGAGGCGATTCGGAGGGGAGCTGAGAGTATGGGATTATGTGTGATTATAAAATAAAATATAGTGATAGAAACAGTATTGTGATATACAATTGGCTGTCTTCCTTTTATTATCGAAGCTATTAGAGCTGAAGGATTTTGAAGAATTCTTCGTTTGTCACTTTGTTGAGTTGCGATGTACAGAAACGTGTGTACGTTATCGTACGGCAGGCTAGACAAAAACATCAGTTGACTGCAGTACAGTGAAAACAGGTTTGGCTGATCTCATGGGGTTTGTAAGCCTATTCGCTCAGGAGTTTAGTTCCATGTTCATTGAAGAAGATGAGGGATCCACAGCTTATCCTGAAAGTCAGAGTATCGCTCCATAAGCGAGTTGAACTGCAGTATATCCAGTCCCAGCTTTTAATGCATTGTAAATACCGAGCAAAACGAGAAGAGCGTCGGTCCACGGCGAAACGATTCTAGCTAAGAGTGAAGCTTTAAGCTATCGTTCTATTTTATTTCTATTGCTTGTAAGTGGTAAAAGCTTTTTCGGAATCACGTGATTCCTTTGATCTGGTTTGCATGTTCTGTAGTGTTAGTTGTAGGGCAGTCGAAGTTTGCTAGCAACCGTCCCACAAAGGCGCGGGACACTGTTTCAACAGTAACTTTCTTGATGGGTACTGCTTCAGACCATCATGTGAAACGCTCCACACACGTGAAAAAGTAACATTATCCATTTGAATCTGGTAAGGGTTCTGTCAAATTCAGGTGGACATAGTCGAGACAACTATCAGGTGCTTTGAAAGAGCTCAAGAGTCATACGTCCTGTTTATTCACCTTACATTTCTTGCAGTTTACATAGGCCAACAAAATAATGCTTACTTCTCTGAACTCTGATTGTGTGATTAGCAAGGTATCAAGCATTTCATTAGAACCGTCTTTAGTGGTCAGCAACAAAACTGTAACTATAGCATCATTAAATTCTCTTGACCTGGGTTAGATGGTTCAAGATCAACAAGTAAGAGTCCACAACTTATGACCGAAAATTTATCGTCTTCAGTCAGCAAATTGCAATACCTAAGAACAGGAAGTTTATTACATGTAATACTCGGAATAGAAACTTTGATAGGTTTAATTATAGCACTGGAATATAATTACTTCAATTTCCCAACCGAAATGATGAACTTAGTAATACCAGTGCGAACAATAAATTCGTGAAAAGAAGCACTGGATAGATATAATCGTTTTCCAATTTGACGTGAGTTACTCGAAGTAGAAAATAAGGATAATATAAGATAATTATCAGAACAATCCAAATTAGTTGGATTCGAATTAAGAATTTTAGTGTGACTTGCAGACAGACTGGATTTGTCACACCTAAAGCATCTGACTTAAGAACAGGCGAGAGGTTGTTTGGAGATGCAATTCAAAACATTGGCTGTGTGCGTGGAGCAATGCTTAGAAATGGTCCGTAAAAAGATTTGATAGACTGCTTGATAATTTCAAGGTTGTGAATGATTAAAATAAGATTACTGAAATAAGAAGTTACTAAAATGGGTTGCGTAATAAGTGAACAGGTTTGGAATGAATTAAAACCTATGAATGAAGAGATAAGTTTGGAATATACAAAAATAACAGTTAGTTCGGCGAAGACCGCGTAACAAAAGCTGCAATTAGCAATAATTATAATAACGAAAAATAATAATTGACCAACGCCGTAAAAGGTTGATTTTTGTCGCATTCAGGATACATGGATCAAGTGTGAGATTTTTTGCTAGTGTTTCGGAGAAGCACATATGGTGGGACAATAGAGAGCATCCACGGTCCCTCACTGCTGAGGAGCCCCACAACAGGACGAAATGGCCTTCCAGTGCTTCCAGGTTTTCCATGGTGGTCTAGCTTCAACTGACTCATGATCTCAACTATTAAAAAACTACTATAATATCCACGAAAAACCCCTTTTGATATTGCTCAACATATGCTCACTAGCGACTGGTTTCAAGAGGTATTTCCTGGAGTTCTAGTGAGACGCAGTGACCAGTGAAGTTCAACTGGGTCTGTTGTCAGATAGTAACTTACTGAAGACAATGGTGGGTATGTCGCTCAATTTCACGGACTAGTTGACCTAGATGTTAAGCGTCCGCGCACGAGATCGATAGGTCTCGGCTTCAAATTTCACGAGGTGGGATCGTGGATGCGCACTGTTGAGAAGTACCACGATAGGACGAAATGGCCTACCAGTGCTTCCAGGTTTTCCATGGTGGTCTAGATTCAATCGACTCATGATCTCAACTATTGAACTTATCATTCCCTTTCCCATATATATATATATATATATATATATATATATATATATATATATATATATATGTATATATATATATCAATAGTTTCTTCACTTCGATTCTATTTGACTCTGACTCTTCCTTTGTAATTGCCTGCTTGCGCGCTATTCAGTGATAAAATATAGTCGGCGCTTCGTATTGCTTTCTGAACTCATACACCGTTAACATTTATTTAATGATAGTTATCAGAGTGATTGATACACGAAGCCTAAGGAATTATTATGGAGGCAAGCCACTAGAAGACCACCGAACATATTGAGTCGGGAATCGGCTGCACAGACGAAAAGAATGAGTAGCTGCAAGGAGCAGCACTGAAAGGATTGCCTGGGAGAGTGTGCTCAGAAATCCTGATGAGCGAGCTGTGCTCGGCCACAAGGAGTGACAGACGTAGGTCTCTAAATAAGTATACTACTGGCATTCCATAAGCTTTAAAATTCATTAGGAGACAAGAAACACAGCGTCTCTTCGGTTTGTCGAAGCAGTAGAAACAAAATCTTACACTTGATTGATATAACCATGTATCAACTCTGTTTTCGATTATTATTATGTCAATTGAACCAATGTTTATTTATGAATAAAAGTACTTCCATGTGCATATATATAATCCCAGATACCTGATTGAAATACAGTCGAATGTTTTATCAGAAGTATTCAACGCCTTGAATAAGTGTACATGATAATTCTACTCCATTTAAGACAAGCATATTTATTGCACGATCATCAGCTACCATATTAGGCTTTCCTGCATGGTGTAGAAGGTCATTACGTTGTATCTCATCGATAGCATAGTAAACAATCGAAGTTTTGAGTATCTCGTTAAAATAGACCGCTACCTAAAAGTAAGAATGCTTATTATTATCAGCTTTAGTCAATATTATATTTTTGATACAGTATAGAATTCTCGGCACAAAGCATTTCAAAAAGTTTCCGTTCCATACCTCTTGGTCGATTCTGCCGATAAATATTGAGTGATCGCCAGTTAGATGTTAGCAGTCCAGTAAATGAACATTTGAATAGCGTATATACTTTTCGTTGCATATTGCCACTGACCACAATATCTCTTATTGGGCTCCTTGCAACTTTGACAGCGAAAGGTTGTACACTTTTCAGAATTGCACTTGTTGAAATATCTAGATGGCAGGCATAGGTAGCCCAGATCACAACAATCAGCATCCTCCGTTTCATCAAAGACCACTGGACATTAGAACTTCTGTTTTCTACCATATCCCAGCACAAGCCTTTAAACTGGTCTGAATTCACTATCCAACATGTAATTAGGGTGATTTAGTTAAACATCTACGTGTGCGTAAAGACTGCACTCTCCTTGTAGAAAGGAAGAACAATATATGTAATGGCCATTTAAAACTACTCTCAATGTTACTTAACAAGTAAAACACCAAAATTTTGACTTTCTAGTGAGTTTCCAAGTTTTTCTGCCATAGCACCATGGGGGATGTGTTAGTGCTCAGTAAGTCTATTGTTACAAGGATATTGAAAGTGCATTTTGTTGGCGCTACATTCTGCCTACACGTTGCTTTAGGATGGCAGGCAATGCTTTGAAAAGACTCATGGCAGAGTACAAACGTGCGTTTCAGTTAATTACTAATATTCTCAAATTTTCAGTCGCTATAATTTTGTTGGACTAGCTTAAAACAAGCCATGTCATGTGTACATTTTGGAGGACCAACTGAACATCTTTAGTTGTATGACCTCTATTATCTAACTGGTGCCCCATTAAGTCAAATTGTAGTCCTCACAACCGTCTTTCACTCTAAACAAGCGAAGATGTAATCTTGGTTTTTGTGCCTTTATTATTATTATTGTCGAAAGCTGGTTCTCAACTCTCTTATATAAAAGAGGTGGATCATATATGATCCACCTTACACATATCTTAGGCATATACTGTGCGCTTCTGAAGCAAGCTTTTCATAAATCTGTCTTAGTGGCTCTCAATCGCTGTAATTGCTTCTAATTGCTCTATTCACTACCCAAATGTAGCATGTGAAGAACATGAGTTGCTGGTCGTCAATAATAATTACCTATAAACATGTCTAATCTTTTACATTTCGTGAAGTACGTCCTCAAAAAAAAATCGGTAATGCTTATTCTCCACCCCATATATTGTTGTTACCAACTTGTTTTGTCCGAATCAGACATATGCTCGACATTGTGTAGGACTAACTGTGCGATTTGATAGGTGTTGTGAAAGTTTAAATCGGTATCATCATGTAAATGAAATTCTCTCTTAAAAAGTAGATACGAATATGCATTTAAAATGATCTCGTATGATGAAGTCTGTGAAACATCAAGTTAGTGGTTAAATTACTGTTATTTTAGCCCATATATTTCAGGTTTGCACCATATGTCACCTACTTCGACTTAGGCAGCCCATTAGTGTCAATAATCACGCCTGAAATGTGACTCGAAACTTAATGAATAAACCTATACTTGGTAAATTAATTACATCATATTATCTCACGTTCTGATTTATATTACTCGCTCCTCCGTTTTAGAATTAACAGTCAATCCACCAGAGGGGATTGTTGCTGGACCAGTGGATGAAAGGAATTTTTTTGAGTGGGAAGCATTAATTGCGTGAGTTAATGTATACTTAAATTAATAAGGAAGATTAAGTGAGATAATGTAATAGCATTTGGTAACTACATTTTGATAAAAACTAACTATGTGGTACTGAGTGTCCAGTTCTAAATAATTGTAGCGAAATAGCTAAAAATTCATTTAACTTTTTATTGTTGAATATTTAAGTCATCAGTACACAAGTTCAGTGCACCTTACGCATTCATTCTGTTATAAATTAGTTATGGACTTCTTATGGTCCTCGCTATATCATTTCGTCGAAAAGATTTTCTTCGCTGAATTCTCTTTTTCTTATTAAATATGATGTTGATGGCTTAGTGACTAAGTGACTTGACCTTCCACTAATAGGTCATAAGTCCAAACCCTGATCCAAGTACTTTGGGTAGGGAAGCTAAAAATAGTGTCATCAACAGTTTAAAATTAAGCTGAGTACGTAAATCTGTAATTAATCGGTTAAAATATGGCTTATTATTATTATTATTATTATTATTATTATTATTATTATTATTATTATTATTATTCTGTTAACTGAATTATCAAATTTACATTCAATAATTGTTCACTTATGAGTCGTATTTAAAAGTACATATGTATATTTTTGACAGTTTTCTTTGTAAAAGTTACTTATTACTTATTGAACTTCCTAGTTTTTTATAGTTTTTCATTCTATTCCGTATGTGATATATTATAGTGGACCAGAGGGTACTCCATTTGAAGGTGGTGTTTTTGCTGTACGTCTGAACTTCCCATCCGATTACCCTTTGTCTCCACCAAAAATGCAATTTCTAACTGAAGTGTTCCATCCAAATAGTAAGTATATTCAGTTTTTATTTACTTTATGTTTACATGTAAAGAAGATAATTTAACCGGTTTTGGTAGTGTTGCATTTCTTGAGCTGGATAACTTGGAATCACATCGTCGTTCTGAACAACGTTATCAGCGCTTACGTCATGCAGAATTAAGCTTCACAACTATTCCATAAGTTTCAAACCACTTCGTTCTTATGAATTTGTTTGTTGTTGATGGTCTTTGTAATTCTCGTTGTCTTCATTTGTCTTTGTGTTCCTGTTGATTTCTTTGTTCGGTCAACCTTTGACTATGTGGTCGATTGATCTTTTCCCTATGGATTGGTAGATTTAGTCTATGATGATGTGTCTGTTGATCGCCGATTAATTCGAATCTCACGCCTTTCGAAACTCTATGAGACCCTTAGAATTTCCTGCACCTAGAAGTTTGATGTTTTCCTAATTGAATTCGTGCCCGTGGTTCTCTGCATGCATTGATAGCAGTGATACCTTGTGTCGTTCCATTTTTGTACAGTGATTGAACCCTTTTTCACAAGTAGTAAGCTGTAATGATATTGTTCAGAGTTACAATGAAATCCTTGCAATTAAACTATATAACTCATGGAAAACAGCACCACGAAAATGTCCTTCCATCATCACTAGCTGATAATCGTGCTATCATTGACTTTCCTCCAACCCGTCTGAGAAAAAATTCATAATGTTACGGAAAACTGGAAGTCACATAAGTTACCACGAAGTTTATATCTCGATAAATCCAACCTCCTGGTTTCAATCAGAGAAATAGATACTTAGGATAATAATAATGCTGAAACTAGTTTTTATCACAAATATGTCTAGGTCGAAAAAATTTGACCAGTGGATTTCAGGTTGAGGTGCTAATAATAATAGTAATAACGTAATCACTAGCGTCTAGTTTTGAGATGGATTCTAAAAGTGCAAATGTGAATTTATGTCTAATGAAGTTTAACTGTTAAGTTTCAACAATTTTCCATCATTGAAATTGGACGGGTTGTCTTACTACTATATATATATATACCGATACTTGATCATTTTTCGTTTGATTTTACTGTCTATCCGACAGTGTGTAAAGAAAAATTCATATAATCGCTCAAGTTATCATTAACTATTAACTACTGATCTTTCCCCATTGTTGACACTCATAGACTAGAATGGACAAATATTTACTGTAAAATACACTTCTTGATAGATGGATGCCTAAGTCATTACTACACTCAAAGTTAAATAGCTTGTTAACTTTCCATTTAATAACAAATATACCTAATTGAACAAGTTAGCGATTCTCATAGTGGTTAAAACTGACGTTTGAAGCAATGTTATCAAATATTTTCGGGGATATCTAGGCCAAAATATGTGACACGCCCATATTTATAACACAGGTGTAAGTGATGGATTGATATTTATTTAGATGAATCCAAACAAGAACGTTCCAAGTAATATATCTGCCGTACTATGGAAATAAACTAGTGAACTTCGATTATCACGCTTCCCGCTAGGAAACAATTCCCATCAGGACTCAATTATGACATTAGGGACATCCCTGTTTGGATTCATGTGAATAAATATCGCTTTGCCACATCTAGTTGCTTTCTGAACATCAGCTTATCACTTCTATTAGCCTAAATATGGCTGAACATAAACATTTAGTCTCAGTGTAAATGTCAACCTTGAATTGCAAGCCTATCCAGCTGACGGGTACTGAATAGAAGGAAACACATCCTACATCTAACAACTAGTCACCATCATGTTTTAAATAAAATTACATCATTTAGGTTGCTGCGGAGTCGTTTGTAGGGCTGAGGTTATCCACAACATTTTCAATGTTCAATAAGGTTGTTGTACCCAGCTATTTTGCCACTTTTTGCTATTCATTTAAAGGGTAATTGCTACACATTAGAGTATACTTTTTCATTACCGCTTCTGTCAGGGAAGTCCTACTCACTGCCTTCTCGTGGCGGGCGTGTTGTTTACGAAATTGAGAGGACGAAAAGCGAATGTCCGGCTCTTTAACCGGATCTTAAACCAATGGTGCACATGGTCTCCAGTATCCTGCGGGAGCAAATGGCGCATGGACTAATCGTTGGTCACCTGCTACCATGAGACTGCATCTCCACACGATGCTCCATTGCCTTGTGGGTCGGACTTTTAGGTCCAAGGCTCGGGGTGTGGCCTCTTAAGAAAACCACCTGCTTCGGTCTGGGCACCCGGGCAGTATCCCAGCCCTCACACAAATTGAATGATTTATGTGGCGCATATGTATTTGGTGCCTCCTTGTACCAATGTTTATGTGTTTAAATAAGTAAATAAAATAATAAAACCGGGACTAAATGAGGGTTACAGTTGATGGTTATGGTTAGGAATTAGATTTAGGGTTTTCATCACGGACTGACATAAACTAAAATGCCAGAACGCTATTCAGCTGAATGGGTGAATGAATTTCACGCCAAAGTCTAATACCCGTTGCCTTATATCTGACTGGTTCGTCCATAAATTATACTCACTCTTTTATGTTATGTTTTTTCATCAGGAATATCACTTCGCGATTGGCTGACATTCATAGCAGAGAGTTACGGATAAATCTGAACGCTTAAAACCATATCGTTGGTGTAAATTGCTCTCTGATATTTATGACCCATCTACTAAACGAACGGATAAGTTACCGAAGATGATGGGTGCAGCACACTTATACTGGACGTCGGAAATGTTGCAGATGACCTCAGCCATCTGTAATCACATAATCATCTATAATCAGTGATGAATAACTTATTTGAAAACAGTTTTTCACGCCCGACTCAATGACATTTTGAATATAGTGTGTTTAATTTCAGTTTTATTATATTGAATCTGAAGAACAAAAACTAGGGAAAATAGTAGTCTTCGTTTTATTCCAAAGTCCCTGTCTTCTATTATTATACTCTTGGAATTGCCCAAATATAATGATGTTCATTCGTATTAATATTTCCTGTAAAGTGTAACAGTTTATTTGAAAGAAATGGCCTTATTTACTGGCCAGCTATTCCAGTCTTTTGATATTAACCTATTTTGAAACGGGTTGGGATCAAGAATTTCTTCCTCTGAACAGTAATCGTGGTTAAGATACATGTTATGTATGCTCAAAAACCATCTATTTCGACGCGTGATATTTACCACTGGTGTGGGAGGTTGGAATGAGACAAGTAATCAAAACAAGATATTTAATCAATCCACTCAGTTGTTGACTGTCGATCTGAACCATGTATGCAGGTGTAGACTAATTGGCTAGGATACTTGCGACTATCGTAACCAATAATTGGATTTGTTGAGTGATATATCTCAGCATTTTTTATTATGGCACAAATGTGCTCACTATTTATCTTCCCTCTCAAAACAACTTTGTACTTTTTATTTCACAGATTCATTCTTGCTTTTCGAATCATATTGATTATGCCTAGTGTTTTCCACCCCATTCTGATACTGTTATTGCTTCCACTACGCTGACATTTGTCTTGCCAATTTATTTGGCTATGGTGATGAAGTGCATCAACATAAACGAATATATATATGTCAAGCTCTACGTTGTTTATGAATGACTGAACAGTAATCATATGATCATATTAGAACCAAACCCCCGTATATAACAGTTACGTCATTACGAAGATTTATCAAATGACAATATTTCATATCTGGTCTGAAATCCAATTGTGTTCATCCCTCGTTATCAGCATCTCATTATCATACAACAAACAAAGAAAATGAACGTAAATTAAGTATTGGTTAACAACTCCATTCTTAGTATGTTTTGTGTACCGTATGTGAGCATTTCTTTTTCAATCTCCTCTCTTACTGTGTAGTCTATCCAGATGGACGCGTGTGCATTTCCATACTTCATGCTCCTGGTGATGATCCAATGGGTTATGAAAGTTCCGTTGAACGTTGGAGTCCAGTTCAATCAGTCGAAAAAATTTTATTGTCTGTTGTTAGTATGCTTGCAGGTAATTGATTTTAATGATTAAGATGAATTAAATCTAGTTTTTAAATTATTTGTTTTTTTCAGGAAATCATTGTCCTGTTTAGAAAACTACTCAAAAACCATAGAGTCCGACTAAATAACTATCACATTTTATTAAAATCACAAACCGACCAATGTTAGATCGTTATTCAAATCTTGGAAGCACTGGACGACCGTCTCGTCCTATTGTGGCACGCCTCAGCAGTGCGCATCCGTAACTCCGAATTCGGGGATCGAACCCACGACCTCCGGTCTCGCGCGAACACTTAACCTCTGGACCACCGAGTCGGAAACATTTTAATCACAAAGTTTTTATCTCACTATTCTAAATTGTCATCATCGGTAACTTGATACGTAGGAGAAAGAAGCATTTTCCATTGTGATTACATTTTAAGTTTGTTAAAATGATAATCCATTGAATACCAGTGTTTAATAATTAGTAGATAATACTGGAAAATATCAGTGGTAGTCATACTGACAACAAACAACTGTTTATGAGATCAAATTATCGACGTAACTCAACCCAACCCTCTCATTAAATGAATTGTCATCAAAAGAAAGCTAGCTAGCTCAATAGGTTTTTGTTTAATTTAGTAAAATGATATACTGCCATACAAAGTAGTGAATACATGAGATTATAAATAGTGAGCAGTCATTGGAATCATTAAACAATCGGCGGTCGGGAAAGGAGTGCAGAAATAAAAATTCTGTAGATCATTCGTTCGTGTTTATGAAATTGAGACTTAATTCTTACCCCTATCATATTTACAGTTTCTTATAAGTTAATATTTGGTAGTCTATATAATAAGAACTTTATTGAATCGTTTTTCTTTTTTCGGGGGGGGAGGGTCATTGAAATCCAGTTCATAATGAAAGTACTTTATTTCATGGATTAACATCAGTTTGGCAATCATTAAAAATCAGAAAGGATTGGTTAGTTGTATTTAGTTTAAGCATCCAACTATCTGATTTATTTGTTGCGAGCTCTTAAGAATTCAGAGAACTCTTCAGGAACTAGGAGAAGAGTAAAAATACTTCGTCTAACCAGTGCTGATTAGAACCTTCAGAGTAATAAAAAGACGACGTGTTGTGTTTCATATCTTGATTCAACAGTTAGTGGTTTCCATAATAATTTATCCATATTTCTGGAAGCTTCTAAAATTCTAGAGCCATACATTCTATGCCTAAGTTAACTCTTAAAGCAAATTTTGTTTTCATATTTCCTGCCTTTTGTCGTCTGTTTGAGGCTAAAGCGTAGAAAATCCCTTAGGGGGACTAGGATTCGGCTAAAAATTAAGTTCAATAGTTGAGATCATGAGTCGATTGAATCTAGACCACCATGGAAAACCTGGAAGCACTGGAAGGCCATTTCGTCCTATCGTGGTACTTCTCAACAGTGCGCATCCACGATCCCACCTCGTGAAATTTGAAGCCGAGACCTATCGATCTCGTGCGCGGACGCTTAACATCTAGGTCAACTAGTCCATGAAATTGAGCGACATACCCACCATTGTCTTCAGTAAGTTACTATCTGACAACAGACCCAGTTGAACTTCACTGGTCACTGCGTCTCACTAGAACTCCAGGAAATACCTCTTGAAACCAGTCGCTAGTGAGCATATGTTGAGCAATATCAAAAGGGGTTTTTCGTGGATATTATAGTAGTTTTTTAATAGTTGAGATCATGAGTCAGTTGAAGCTAGACCACCATGGAAAACCTGGAAGCACTGGAAGGCCATTTCGTCCTGTTGTGGGGCTCCTCAGCAGTGAGGGACCGTGGATGCGCAATGCTAAGGAGTCTCACAATAGGACGAAACGGCTGTCCAGTGGTTCCAGGTTTCCCATGGTGGTCTATCTTTAGTTGACTTATGATCTCAATCTTTAAACCATAAAGTTTGAAACCCGGTAATCCCCGTTTAAAAGTTTAACTAGTTGTTTGTAACACTGATGGCCACCTTACTCACTCCTGTTACTGCTCGTTGAGTGGGCATAGGCCGCCCACCAGCATTCTCCATCTAACACTGTCCTGAGCAATCCTTTCTAGTTGCTATTGACTTTTTTGAGGTCTGTTTTCTTATTCCCGACTGAGTGTGTTATTTGATCTTCCTCTTTTCCTTTCCCCTTCAGTATTCCAAATTAGCACTTGCATCGTGATGCAGTTTGATGATTTTCGAAATTTATGTCCTATCCACTTCCAACTTCTTTTCCTAATTTCTTCGACTGGAAGCTGGTTTGCTCTCTTCCACAGTAGGCTGTTGCTGATGGTATCCAGTCAACGGACATTGAGTATCTTGTATACACAATTGTTTATAAATACTTGTACTTTTTTGATTATGTTTGTGATGATTCTCCAAGTTTTAGCTCCGTATAGTAGAACTTTCTTGACGTTCATATTAAAGATTGTGACTTTGATGTAGGTTGAGAGACAGTTGTTTTGAGTTCTATATGTTCTTCAACTGTAGGAATGCTGTCCTTAATTTGTCAATCCTCGCCTTTACGTTTGCATCGGATCCTCCTTGTTCATCGATGATTCTGTCCGAGTACATGAAAGTTTCCACCCCTTTCAGAACGTCTCTAGAAAATGTGATTGGATCGGTGTTCTTCGTGTTGTATTTGAGGACCTTGGCTTTTCCTTTGTGTAATCCGCCGTATGAATTTCGGATGATTTACACCGAAATGTCGAACAAGGTTCCATATGGTTCTTCCCACTTTGTCAAACACCTCATGGACAAGGAATGTGCTGTATAGCGATGAGTTTTTTCAACTGATTGCTCAACAACGATCCATAGTGTCACTATTCAGTCTGTGCGCGACCGATGCTTACGGAATCCAGCCTGTTTAACTCGAAGATGAGCGTCTACTGAATTTTTCATCCGATACAGAAACACTCTGTTATAAAGTTTTACTTGTACAGATAGTAATGTGTTGCCTCCGTAGTTTATACATTTGCTCAGGTTTCCTTTCTTTGGTATATTGACGAGGTATCTTTGTTTCCCGTGTGACGGGACTTGTTCCTTTTCCCAAATCTTCCTGAATAGAATGTGGATCATGTTTGCAGTTGCTTGTATGTATGACTTGAGTGCTTCGGCTGTTATGTTGTCAGGTGCTGTTGCTTACCCTTTTCTAGGTTTATCATTGGTGAAGTGACATCCGTAATAAGTCTGTGTGCCGATTCGATATCCAATGTATTCAATGGAGCTGGCTTATTCAAGAGTCCTTCAGTGTTCCACCCATCTCTTCCTTTGTTCTTAAATTTCAGTGATTGGTTTGTCTTGTTTGTCGTTGACCTGTCTTTCTGGTTTACAATATTTTCTTGCCATTTTCTTCGTTGTACCATATAGTTGGTTGATATTTTTCTGTTGCAGCTTTTTCCACTGTTGTTGATAGTTATTCGGTGTATTTCCGTTTGTCTGCTCTTAGGCTCCACTTTACTTGTTTATTTGCTTCTGTGTAATCAGCTTGTGCCCTTGTTTTCTCTGTCGTTGTTCTGCTGTTGTTAATTGCTGTCTTCTTGTTGTTCTTTTCTTGAATCTTGTGCAGGGTTTCGATAGAGATGCATTCCATATGATGATGCTTCTTGCGGCCCGGAACCTCCTGACATGTTGAAGCTAGTGCTTCTGTGATCCGTTTGCAATTTCCCTCCGTAATAGTTTCTTCTTCCTTGAGTTGATCTTGTAAGGCTTGAAACGTGTTGTTGAGAGTTGTCTTGAATTGGTTGGGTAGTTTGTCAATGTGTCGAAAGAGGGCTTTGTTGAACCTTTATAGTGCTGTTTTCCTCGTTGTCTAGTGTTTTTTTGGTGACATGTATCTATGTCAGCTCCCCTCCTGGTTCTCACGTCTTCCATTGACCTTGTGAATTTTTTATTGATGCAAATATGATCGATCTGATTCCGTGTAGTGTGATTTGGTGGGACCTATGTAGCTCTGTGTATGCATTTGTGTGAAAATATTGTACCACCTATAACCACTTTGTTGAATGCACAATTTGCGAATCTCTCACCATTCTAGTTTCTTTATCCCAGTCTGTTCATGTCGTCTCATGATATCTTGATACCTTTTGTTGTCCATTTCGACTTTGACGTTTAGATCTCGTATGAGGGTTTTTAGGTCTTCATCTGAGCACTTCGCTATGATCGATTGCAGCCTCTCATAAAACCTACGTTTATTGGGTGTGTTGCTATTATTGTTGAGTGCATAACACTGGATAACACTCATTGTGATTCCCTCCTTTGTTTAAAAAAATGCTATGATGATTCTACGTTTATGAGATTCCCATCCTATAAAGGCTTTACGTACTCGTTTGGGCAGGATCAGAGCGACTCCGTGAGTGTGCTGCGCATTTTCTTCTTCGTGGTCAAAATACAGCAGCATTTCTCTCGAATGTGTAACCTTTTCTGTCGAGCTTGGATTTTAAGGATTTCGCTTATTCGTAGCACGGTCAAGTTGTATCTGCTCGTTTCTGTAGCTGTTTGGTCGGTCCTCCAGGTCTCTCACATTGTGTGGATATTGCATGTTCGTATATTAGTTGTTGGTGTGGTTGTTAGAAGGGTTATAGCTCTCTTGACTTCCGAAGAATATTGGCTTTCACCACGAAGTATCTTAGTTTTTCTAAATGAAGTTTAAATGTTTTAAATTGTTTATTTTTGGTCAGCTTTGTTTTAGTAATGTTGTTTTCTACGGGATTGTGGTTACTGACCCCATGTACAACCCTCCTCCTTTACCCGGTTTTGGGAACGACATAAGCACTTGAAAAGCTACTGGCGTGGTAGTATGTTATTAATCCTGTTAGTAGTGGTCGTTCTACAAAAAATTACTTCACACGGATCAATTAGTGGTGAATACAATAAAATTAATTTTCGTATTTGATTATCGTAGATTTGTGTCATGCTCAGTCGAAACAGTGTTTTACATGCTTCCAATTAAAAGGTCAATTGTAGGTTATGAAAATATTTTTTCAAATTGGTCTAGTTCATGTTATAGAATACATTGTGTCCTACACTTCTATTTTACCACGGTCTAACTCTTCACTTAAGAGTTAATCTTGTTTGTATTGCAACTTTCAACTGGATAGGCTTTAAGTGATTAGCGCTTATTTCTACGAGTGATTCCTACATTTTTTAGAAAAACAATATTGTCGTGACGGGCAGTGTCCAAATACTGACACTGATACACAGTGTGCTACTCGCTAACCCCTCAACCAACTACTTGAGCGAGAACACAAGAGTGAGCAAAGAAGTATATTGGGCTGTCCAATAAAGTGTACAGATACTCATTTACATATATGCCACTCTAACTCTTAGAAAATTGATTTATTTCTGAGTCAATAAAATGCACTTGACCTTTAAGTCACTTCTGATTGTCATCTTTTGACCTCATTAGGCTACTTCTTATTGGCTTACCATATCACCTTTCCCTCCTGAAACATAAGTCATTGGATTTAATTGAAGGCGTTGAAGTAAATGTCGTCCTGATAATCTTCTTGGGGTCTGGATATCAATTCTTCTGCGCTGATCTTGCCACTCCAGACCAACCGTATCAATTAAATAATCCAGTCACAAGTTCGAGCAAGGGGATTGTTTTTCGGATTTAATCGTCTATCTCGGATGTGGTTTACATATTGCGTACATCACGTCACCGACTCGTCTTACGATGACACTGGCTATCCACGTAGGTCCCCATTGTTGAAAGTTCCTTATGTACACTGGTAACACATTAAGAGACTGACGTCCAATTCTCTTCACCATGGATCTATAATCTGGTCTTCTTTTTTGTGGGTACATGATATCAAATTAATTCCGAATCTTCCTTCCGAACATTGACTCAACAGGAGAAAAACCTTAGGTGAGGCTGGATTGAGGGTTATTGATGGCGATTCTCTCGGTCGTACCATTGTAGTGAACAAGAACACGGGTGGGGACAATCGGATGTATTTAACACAAAATTACAGAGCATCTCAATAAGATCTGAGAACCATATATCAAATCGTTAATTTGCAAAATGTCCACCAATTGTTTCAAAATGCTTCAGACTTCATTGTCCTTGCATTTTATTCCCGCTCTTGCTTTCTTGATCTTTCCCCATCTTCTGCTGCCAGACCTTACATTCCTGACTCGCATAATATACTACTTATATCAATATAAGTAGCACTCACTACACCATCACCTTGTAATCATTCTGAATATCATAAGGAAATTTCTGTCACCATTTGTGCATCATATGAGATGAAGATATTTGGTTGCAAATAATGTTAGATGACCTGTCGAACATCTTTAAAAATGGATTACAAATAAGATTAAATGGGTGATCGAACATTTTTAATTATGTGATCTGGTCAAGTCCCAATAGATTGAAGTGTCAATCACTTACATAACATGTGGATTTGATTATTAGATCATTAGATTTGACAGTACATTTGATAATTCCAGAGATGTGAATTGAAATACCCGATACATTCTTTATGCAGCCAGTAGTAAGATGAATGCTTGGCCGACCAAGTTTGTGCCAAGTTTTTCGAGAAATCAAAGTAATATTGGATGCAGTGTCCAACTGCAGAGTGGTAATATGATCATTAACACCAATGGATATATACTTGCGTAATCGTTGAGGGTTAGATTTAGTCAAAACAGGTTTCTTGAAAATTCGGTTAGATCAAAAAGAAATAAAAGTTTGTGAACCCCTTGTTACCACATTCGCAGTTGATTACTGACTAGATTAGGTAATTGAGTTATTGCGGCACTACTGTTCAACTTTTCATTATTATGAAACCTAAGACAAGGTTATTGATAATAAAGGTTTTCTTCGTTTAATTGAAGATGACGGCGCTGATTTCCAAGGCTTAAAGAATGATGATAACAATTTCAAGTTAGTTTTAGTATCTTGAGCTCGAATTTACATTGCAATTTTCATTAGTTACAAATCAGTTTCATAGGAACTAATTGATTTTCGCACCTAACGATTATCAGTTCGCTATGCAATTTTCCAGTAATTACCGTAACTGGTTTTCCTAGTACAGGTTTATGAGTTCAGCTTTAAGACACTATTCATTTTAGTATATGAGGTAGTGATGCTGCTCGATGCGGTTCAGACCTATGACCCAACAATGGCAAGTTATTTTTCTCGTCTTCATCGTTCAAGAACGCGCGTTTTGACTAACAGACCAAAGGTCCAAACTCTTTACTGGGGTTAGTCCAAGCAGTTAAATTGTGTCACTAGCCTCATCACCTTTGTAAAGAGTATACTTAGTAAATAATTCACATCATAACTTGGCTAAAAACGATCCTCATTCTTCGTTTTTTTCTAAAACTAATTATTACTTTTTAGAACCGAATGATGAGAGTGCGGCTAATGTGGATGCAGCAAAAACATGGCGTGAAGATAAAGCGCGTTTCAATAGTCTAGCACTTCGAAGTGTACGTATTAGTTTGGGTATTTCGGCGGAATAAGATATTATCAGAAAATAGAAGGAAAACAACAATGAAAGAATAGAAACTAAGCGTGTCTTTCGACTTTTTAAAAAAAATTTATCTTTCATTTTGTTATGTAGTTCCTTCAAAACAATTCTTATTGTGTTATTATCACTTCATTTTTTATTGTTGTTGTTATTAGTATCTTTTTGTTTTCTGATCGAGTCAATCATGAACAATCTTATGACTTTTATGATTTTGCTTTAATAACTGTTTATTGTGTAAGCTCCTTCTTCAGAGAATGAAAAATAATACGAAGTTGACTATTTTTGGTGTGATCGAAATTAAGATTTGCCTGATGATGTTAATGACATGACAATTTGGCCAAAATGGTTTTTTGTCTGAGACTTATTTGTATCTGTTGTTGGGTTTGTCAAATGCAATTATTATAATCTGGAAGAATGATGTGAAAGATATTTGTATGTTTGTTAGTTGTATGAGATGTGAACAGGATGAAATATGTATGGACATTGTGTAAATGGTCCATATCAAGTAGATCATTAAACCTTCCTTTCTATCAAGTGCTGTAAGTTTTACCAATACAAGAACCAGCCACTGGTTTTTTTGTATAAACGGAAAATCATATTCGGATTAATTTGGCATAAATAAGGATTTTATGGTTGATAGAAGGGCATTTACTGCTATTGCTTAATTGTTTTGTTCATTTTATGGTTCTAAAGGGTTACCTGGAGTTCTCTTTGTGTAGCTTAGATGTTCTCTCGCATAAGTCATGATTTCACATCAAGACTGCAATATAGAATCCATAACAATCCGTAATGCTGTGTCGAAATGGTAGGGATTTTAACTTTTATTTCAACTAAAGCATTTCGAAGTGTTGGTTGTTTTACAGGATGCTTTTATATTTTGGGATTAAGGATTCGTTATGGCTCGTCTGTTGTGCCATAAAGGTATGGTAGAACTGTAGTACCAACCCGTGATATTCCATTCAATTTATTATTATGCGTTTTACAATAATGAAATAATAATTATCGAGTAGATACGTTACGTAATAATTATATAATGACATATCGATTATACATTAATATTGAGTAATTGAAAGAAAGAGGATTAATAATAATTAGAGTAGTTATTCGAAAATCAACCAGGTGCTACGTTGCATTATATATAAAAAAAGAGAAGGGACTAACAATATTTTGATGATCGGTCAGTAATTTAGTAGTTATGTATTTTGTTTAGTATTATTCAGGATAAAGTAATTTGCCTGGAGCTTGCTAGTTGTTTTTCTTCTCAGCTGATGTTACGATTATAGTGCCTCATCTGAAGAAATTTTTGCACTAAGTGGGTGTGCTAAGCTGAAATTAAAGTAATTATTCGAGTGTCAACTTGCGATGGATGGTTAGTTCAAAACTTCAGTTTTAACATGATAGTCCATAAAGTTCATTTCAAAAGTGAATTTGAGATGATCTGAGAAAGTGTTAGTTTAAAAAAATTTGGGTTTGCTACTTGTTTATGCTCCCGAAAGAAGCTAACTAATGGTTCAACTTGTGTAAGAGAGACAAGAAGAACCTGTACGATGTATCGTTTATATCTGTTAAGTCTTGTGTTTCAGTTTTTTCTGCAAAACATATACCTAAATTTGATTTCTAAGACAATATAATAGTGTTTCTACTTAGCCCCTTGGGAAATATGTTTCTAAATAAGGTGAATGTGGATCGACTTAGGAAGATTGGTCCACTTTACATTAGTTGGCAAACTGACGAATTATTTTGAAATTTCAGATTACAGTGGTTGGTTAACGTAACAGAAGTAGTGGCAATTCAGTCATGTGTCTTGTCACAACTTTTGACTTAATATATGGGATTCTGACTTTTTGAAAAATAACCACGTATTATCAACTCAGGTCATACTAGTCGAGCCATCATACCTATTTCACAGAAGAATATCAATGGATAATGTTCCGTCCTGAACATGAACTGAGTGACTTGGGATGGCCTTGTGGAGATAACTCTAACAAGCTTATCTTGTAAATAGTTTCTAATATTATTTGTATTTATTTTGTCAATTTCTCACCGCATGTACATTTATTATTAAATGACTGTACGTGTTGTTTATGTTAATGACCTTGAGCACCTTTTTCCGCTGTAATTCGAGCATAGCGTGACATATGCTTACCGGCTAACAAATACATTACTACTCACACATCCCTCGTTCTATTTCCATTTGTGATCGAATTAGCTGAATTCTAAATCAAATATTATCATTATTTATAGACTGTAATTGGAATACATCACATTCTACGTCGGATTATAACACCAGAGAGTTCGCCCAACCTGTTTGGAATTATTAAACATTTATAATTGTGGATTTACATTACCGGACCGAATCAGAACACGCAGCGTTTGGTCAATTTAAGTAACGTCCCTATTTTTAGTGTATTTGTAACAATTAACTGTATATACTAATATTACTATTGATCTTTAGTAACTTTGTTTATACTTTTTGCGTTCATATTTGTTTGGTCCACCACAATTATTTGGTGAGCCTCGTTTTTTTTTTTATATAGACATTTACCTTATATATCTGCATATTTTAGTATTATTATTACCTGGCACGACACCATTTTTTTTCGTTTTTGTCATTATGAACTCTACCGGTAAGCTTATTGATATTGAAAGTTCACCGACCAACTTTCTAAACTCTCCACAACTAGAGGATAATGCTTTAAACTCGATCAACGCTATCTCAGAGTTAAGATTACCAACGTATTGTATTAATAATCCAAGAATCTGGTTTGCTCAGATTGAAGCTTTATTCATGGCTAGAGGCATAAAATCTCAGGCATCAAAGTATGCATACGTAGTCGGTGTACTTCCTGTTGAGATTGCCGCTGAAGTTGGAGATTTAATCGATCACGTGCCAGATTCCGAACCATATGATAAGATAAAAGCAGCAGTCATTCAACGCACCACGGTCTCAGATGAGAAAAGGCTGCAACAATTGTTAACATCTTGTGACTTGGGAGATAAAAGACCCTCTCAACTTCTCCGTCACATGAAACAACTCGCTGGTCCATATAAGCTAGACGAAGCCCTTCTAAAGCAAATGTGGCTTCAAAGATTACCACACAGCGTTCGACAAATTCTCAGTGTTTCAGGGAAATTCGTCGCACTTGATGACTTAGCCGACATGGCAGATAAAATGACAGAAGTATATCACGACAATTACTGTGTGAACTCATTACAACCACCTGGACCAACAGATATCAGCTGCCTAGCCTCTTTTCAAAAGCAGTTAACACAATTAACGAGCCAGCTGGCGTCTCTGCGATCAACCATAGCAACCATCCAGGCTAGACAATCGAGATCTCCCTCCAGACGAAGATCTTTTTCTAGACAACGGTCTCGGTCATCGAAGCGAACATCTGATGTTTGTTGGTACCACCAAAAATACGGCAGCAAAGCACGGCGTTGTACACGACCGTGCACATTTTCTGCGTCCGACACAGAGAATCAGGGAAACGGCCCGGCCAGACAGTGATGGCGGCGCCTGTTTCTGGCCATTACCCGAGCCGTCTATTTCATGTCAGGGATCGTATTTCGGGCTCAGATTTTTTGGTCGATACGGGAGCCGAAATCAGCATTATCCCATTACACCTCTCTCAACGACGGCACTCTCAGAGTACTAAATTGTCTCTAGTCGCAGCCAATAACACAGTCATTAAAACTTATGGCGAGCAATCACTTATTTTAGATCTCGGTCTCCGGAGACGTTTCACATGGGTTTTCATCGTAGCTGAAATCAAACAACCCATTATCGGGGCCGATTTTCTCGGTGCTTACAATCTACTTGTAGACATGGCAAAAAAGAAGCTAATCGACAAAAACACAAGCTTACAGGTCAGTGGCACAACTATCTCCAGTTACGAAGTTCATGGAGTCCGTATGTTAAGACCTGAAAACAAAATTTTCACCGATATCCTGTCGAAGTATGAAAGTATAACCAGAGCTGATTACCAAAACGAATGCTCCGCACATCATGTCCAACACAGTATTACTACTACAGGACCACCTATTCGCGCCAGGGCGAGAAGACTCCCTCCAAACAAGTTGCAGTTCGCTAAGAGAGAATTCGAACATATGATGCAACTTGGGATAATCAGACAATCTAACAGTCCTTGGGCCTCGCCGCTGCATATGGTTCCCAAGAAAGATCAAGACTGGCGCCCATGTGGAGATTACCGCCGTTTGAATAACCAGACTATCCCAGACCGGTATCCGATACCTCACCTGCATGATTTTTCTTTAAATCTACATGGAAAACAGATTTTTTCAAAGTTAGATCTAGTCCGAGCATACCATCAAATACCGATGGCACCTGAGGATATCGAGAAAACAGCCGTAATCACACCTTTTGGCTTGTTTGAATTCTTGAGGATGCCTTTCGGACTAAAAAACGCCGCTCAAACCTTCCAGAGATTTATGGACGAAGTAACTAGAGGTTTGGATTTCGTATTTGTCTATATCGACGATGTTTTAATCGCTAGTTCTTCCACTGAAGAACATGTTCAACACTTACATACGCTTTTTGAACGTTTCAAAATTTATGGTGTTGTAATCAACCCTTCGAAGTGTATATTTGGCGCCTCATCTCTGGAATTCCTGGGACACCACATTGATTCCCAAGGAATTAAACCGCTTGAAGAAAAAGTCAAAGCTATCTCCAGCTATCCAGAACCAACCTCAGTAAAATCGCTACGTCGTTTTCTCGGAACATGTAATTTTTATCGACGATTTCTACCAAATTGTGCCGATGTACTACAGCCATTGACAGATTTACTGAAAAATGATAAATCAGGTACCAAGAAAGAAAAGAACAAAATATTCAAGTTACCTTCCGATGCCAAAATAGCATTTGAAAAAGCTAAATCCATGATTGCTAATGCTACCATGCTTCAACACCTAAATACTGACCCCACAACACTGTTGATCCTATGCACGGATGCTTCACAAAAAGCCGTCGGGGCAGTATTGCAACAGCGGGTAAACAACACTATTAACCCCATTGCCTTTTTCTCCAAGAGATTATCGCCAGCACAAGAACGTTATAGTACTTTTGGACGTGAGCTCTTAGCCATGTATTTAGCAGTAAAACATTTCAATTTTTTGCTACAGGGTCGTGATTTCATCATTATGACAGATCACAAACCTCTCTGCCATTCTTTTAGCACATCGTATGACAAACACTCCCCACGAGAAGCAAGACAACTTGATTATATCTCCCAATTTACCACAGACATCAGGTTTATCAAAGGTCACATGAACATTGTTGCAGATGCACTATCTAGGAGGGATATCAATACGATGGTACTCAATCATGACATCAGCCTTGAAACCTTAGCTAAATTACAAGCAGACGATGCAGAATTAAAAGCCTGCAAAGAAAAGTCTAGCTTAGACCTCAAACCTGTACCTATTCCCCTTTCAGATGCATTAATCATGTGCGACACTTCAACAGGCAACAATCGTCCGTTTGTCCCACACGCTTGCCGACGAAAAATATTTCAGCATTTACATGGTCTTTCACATCCAGGCATCAGAGCAACAACAAAGCTCATTACCGAACGTTTTGTGTGGCCTAAAATCAACTCGGATGTTAAACGTTGGACACGTAGCTGTCTCCAGTGCCA